TTAACATTGTGATTCGCATTTTGCGGGTTCGTTATCTCTTTCTCTCGCTCCCTCTCGCTAGCTCTCTCTCTCTCTCTCTCGCTTTTTGTTTCTCTCTCTCTCTCTCTCTCCCCCTTTTTCTCTTAGAGTGTATTTGCATATGCTGCAGTATCTTTACGGATTAGAGTTTGTCTTCTGGTTTTTGGAATCTGAACTCACAGCGAAGCCAAACCAAGCCCCACTAAATCAGAGCTGCCCTTACGATTTTGTAACAGGAAACCACAATCTGACAAGCAAGCCCCATCTGATTGGAAATCCATTCCACGGTTTAGGGTTTAGGGTTTAAGGGTTTAGGGTTTAGGGTCTAGTCAGTACCCCCGATCTACTGAAAATTGTGGAATAATGGCAACGCTCTCTGCAATAGGAAACCGTTGTGAAATAGGGTGGATGTGTAGAAGTACGAAGCCCCCCCATACACATGTACTTGCACACATACATACATACATACATACATACATAGATACATCATACATACATACATACATACACACATACATGCATACAGACATACAGACATACATGCAGACATACATACGTACATAAAATCCTTGCATGTGTATATATATATATATATATACATGTGCATACATACACAGATGCATATACCATATATAAATATGTATTATGTATGCGCACACACGCACACACACACACACATGCATATATATATATATATATATATATATATGTACAGACGCGTGCGCGTCTCCTCTGCTTGTAAGTTCGATCCAAAAGACATCCCGAAAGGGAACTATGATTTGCATCGGGAGATCCCCTTTTGAATTGCCATAAGGTTCCGGTCATCTAGCCAAACAAACTCTCAGAGTGAAGTCCGACAAAACCGCAGGCTTTTCTCCGTCCCAATTCCGTTTAGTTTGGGGGAGTTTGGGATTTGGCGCCTTAGGGCTTAGGGTTCCGCATTCCGTAAGACCAACAGCAACATCAAATGAGCAAGATCTAACGCTGATGACTTGCCAACCTCTGCCAACCGTCTGCAGCGGCATCCGTTCTGATAATACCTGCCGGCAGAACTTGCAGCAGAGTTGGCCGTACTCGAAAGTCCCACCGTCTCATCACCATGCCCCGCATACTGGAAAGATCGGAGGGCCGGTTCAATGGTAGGTCTGACATGAGGCCGTAAGAAATTACCAAGTGCGCATGCATGCAAGAAGCACACATGCAAGCATGCATGGATGCATGTACGTAGGTACTGTCGGTTGGTCGGTCGGTAGGTGTGTACGTGTATATGCATGTATGTATTCGCAGGCTCATGTCATGCAGCACCGGATCGTTGTCAGAGGGATCCTGGAGTTGTTGCAAAGAGTGCAGCATTTTGAGCAGTATCGTTCGGGGTTCAGGGTTCTGGTTTAGTGTGTAGCTGTAGACTTTCTCGACCGAGCACCCCAATCGGTAAAGACAGCCTGAAAGCTGCTTTACTTCAGCCTTTTTCAAAGCCCCCATGATGCACTACAAGGTTGAAGACTACAAGTTGCTTCGTAGATCCGGTTTCATTCTTGCTTTCCCATACGCTGCCATTTAAATCCGAGCTCTCGCTGAACCCAGACCTTAGACGACAATACCCCTAATTCCCTAAACCCTGGAGTAAAGTCTGCACAACCCAGATGATTAAACACATTGCCAACTCTGCTTGGGCAGCGTGATGAGGGCTCGGCTGCTATGAGGGTCCCTGTGAACAGACCTCCAGTAGGAGATTCTGAACAACTAGGGTAACTAGGGGTACTGGTTCTCTTATATTGCCGATACTGCGGCTTCCTGACAGGGTGCGGGTCTCTGAAGACCCTTTGGCTCTGTTTGCGGTTTAGCGCTTGTGAACCCTAAACCTTACGTCCGAAGTACCGATGTTGAACTTCAAGTCTCAAGCACATCAGACACCCAAACAGGCAGATAGGGTTTGCTCCGAGTCAAAGGTCAGGGTTTGAGGTCAGCGTAGAGTGTTCCTTACAGCCTCAACAACTCGTCACAGATTCGAAGCACACTTTCTTCTCAGAGCCGAACTGGCAACAGTACACCCGCGGGCCCCAACCCAACGGATACCAGAACAATGAAGTGGTGCAGGGAAACAGGTCCGGGGCTACATAGGGCCGCATTACATCTATCAGGCCCGAAAGGCCAAGTGCAGTGGTTGCGAAGTTGGGTGCAGTTTGAAGACTGCTTCGTCAAGAGCTGTCGAGTCTGGTTTATCTACCTGACTTGCAGTGAAAACCTCCAAACTCCAGAAGACCTGTCAAACATCACGTAAAACTCCATCCCAAACCACGTACTCGAGCACTCAAGCCTCACCTGACACGAATGGCAAGACCAACTGGCCCCGCAGATATATAGACACAATTGACCCTAATTATAAAACCTCAACGACATCCTAAGCTCTGAGCGCAATCCTGGAATCTGTCACAGCTCGAATGGTGGGTGAAGCAGAGGACTCCGAATGAACAGCCGAAGCATTGAAAACGGCGAGCTCGCGGACCCACTACTCACGGATATGCGGGTCTCGGGCTTGTGGCCCAGGGTTTCAACATGTTTCCAAGTAGCTGAGATAAAACAGGTGAGAGCCTTCTCGGGCTTAGGGTTCTGTGTGTAGTCTGAGCGGGTTCCGCGCAAGACAACGTGGGTTCTGGGTTCTGGAAGAGCCACTTTCCGGGACATTCCAGCATCCCATGACTAAAGCAAATCTACTTCAAAGCCTCGCAATGTCTCAGAGAATTCTGAAGCTACTATAGTCTAAAGTGAAATGAAGGTCCGCTGCAGGGTCCTGACTGAAAGAGTGATGTACTCTTTGGGGCCGTATTTCAGGGAACTACCCATGTGTCTTTGATGTGGGTTCCAAACCAACCAAACAAACATAGAAACTCTGATGCCGCCAGATGCCCATGTCATACTGCTTGGCCGACTTGCGCGGTCAGTTACGATCATGTCTCGTCATGGTCTGCATTGCGGGAACGCTAATCCTATTCGTTCACGGTGATAATAACCATGGACAACACAGTCGCAGCCGTCGTGGTACAAATTACGATAGATGCGTTACCAGTAAAGCCAGCAGCAATAATCGTCGCACCAGCATGTTTGCCATAGCCTTTGCTACTTGTCAGGTTCCCTTCAGGGTTGCGAGTCGCAGCATGGAGAGTGGGGTCGTAGTTGAATAGGAACAAGACTGTAGCTAAAGAGGCCCATGCTCTTCGAACATGGGAGCCGTGTGCGAATTAGTCACAACCAGCCTTGTGCGCTTTCTTACAAAGGTCCATCCCGTTACACTGGCTCCTCGCATATTGGTTCTGTTCTTGCGCAGTTCATGTTTAGATGTGATGTAGTCGCAATTAGCAGCGGCTTCACTTGAGGGAGTCGCCGCCAAACTCAATCCAAAATCACTGGGATGTCCGAGAAAGTTGCAGTTGACCCAGTTTGGATGCCACACAGAGTGGGCGCCCGATCTTCTCATAAGTGCTTGGACTGCGGACAGCCAAGTGATGTATAGTAGATTGGATGTTCTGGGCATTTCTGAACACGAAGCTGCTTGCGCAAGCTGTTAGACCAAGACGCAGAATCTGTTTCAGAAATCCCTCCGCCTTGCCTCTTTCGTCAGGCAGACGAGGAGGTTGGTTGCGAGCAGTAGAGCAAAACAAATCAGGGGTCCCTTGTTCAGTTCGCGATGATGCCCTTAGCCATGCATACACCAACATCCTTCCAGAACCGACATCGCCAAAGCCCCACCGCAAATGGCCGAACATATCAGTCGAACCTAGTTTTGTAATACCGTAAGCCTCGACTCTAATGTAGAAGCCACTTGTAGAAGCCAAATGAATGCTGGCACATTCACTTTAGGGTTCCTTCATTTGGCTTTAATAAATAGTAACTAATGAGTAGAGTATACTGTAGTATAATCTAGTCTAATAAAATGGTATAGTATAGACTAGTGCGGTGTAGTGTCGTGCAGTATAGTATAGTATACCCCAGTACGCCACTCTATGTTTAAGTCCCCCATATAAAGCGTTTAGGCTTGGATGCTTGTTCCTTTTGAGGCTTCATACATTCGGGGTTGTTACACATGCGCAGGAGGATTTTTAGCGCCGGACTAGGTTTTTGCAGCTTCAAGGCCCCTGAAGCACAGACTTGCCCTAGGAGAGCCCTAAAACGCAGCCAGCCACAATAGGCAAACACAAAGCTTCCAGCCCTTAATCCCTAAAGCTAAGTAGCCCCAGAGCCCTGAACTCTTGGAGAGCTCAGGCACAATCAGTGTTTGAGGGTGGAGGATGTTGATTGTTTGGGGTTTGTACCAAAGGCGGTCTGCAGAAATGCAGTATTACAACACCCGTGGGAAGGTCATTCCCTTAGAATCCTTCTTCGTTCTCTTGCTCAGTTTGGGCATATAGGCCCTTGGCCACTGAATTCGTGCCACTCTTGCTGGAGGCGAGTTTCAGGTGTTTGTTCGACAAACTAAGCGGTCTTCCTAAACCCGACAGCACTCTAAGTTGCAAATTCTGGGTTCTGGGCCCGATAAGCCACTTAGACAGCTAAACTGAAATTCCCAAGAGGGTTTGGCCCTAAACCCTACACCCGAACCCGTTGGTAGAAACTTGTTACACAGTTTTACCGCTATCACTGCCGCTACCACTACCGCTGCGGTAGCCTGATGTAGCCTGGTTCTGTGCTGTTTGCTGACATGGAGAGGATGTAGTTGTGATGATGCTAGCGACGAGCACTCAGGCTAGTAAGAACTATGACAGTGATGACGATGATGATGGAGGAGGACTCTTTTGCTTCCCAGTCTTGCTCGTTACAGTTGGTCTTACTGTATATAGCCGAAGCGGCGTTGCATCGGTATCACATGGCGATATTCTTATACCTGCCTATGGAGCACTCATTGCTGCACTTGGATCGTGACTTTTCTTGCTGTCTTTCTGGCTCGAGCCGACGGGAACCTGTTCATGGGCAGCAGTGGCGGTGCCATGTGGCGCTCCGGGGCATGGCTAGCACTGGGCGCCATATGCATCGGTCGCGTCTGCTCTTATACTGGTGATCCCTACGGCGATGGTGCCGAGTTTACTGGTGATGGTGGCGGTGGATTCGGGAACGGAGGCGATGGGAGTTACGGAGATGCAGGTCAATCTGGGGACGGCAGCTGGGGCAGCGCTTCCTCATGGGATGGAGAATCAGGCTTCGATGGGGCCCAGGGCGGAGACGGCTCGCAGGCCGGAGATGGGCAGGACGGCGACGGCTCACAGGGTGGTGACGGTTCGCAAGGCAGTTACGGCTCGCAAGGCGGCTACGGGTCGCCGCCCAGCCAGGGGCAGGGGTCACTGGGCGGCCATGCACAAGATACCGGCAGCAGCAAGCATGGCAGTGCTGAAACCCTTGCACCGACCACTGCTGAGCCCACCTCGCCACCGGCCCCAGCACCTCCAGCCCAAGAGCCAGGAGTCGTCCCGCCTCCACGGCCCACGACTACGACCGCCGAACCTGAAACTGGTGCTTGGACAAAGTCGACCACCATGAACCACGTCCACGGAGAGACGACCTACAGACTCGGAGGCCCAATGCATGCTCCTGCTTCTTGGTATGCCCAGTCTGATGTTGTGTTACGCATCAGAACGAGGCAGTGACGGAGAGGGAGACACAGAGGGAGAGAGAGAGAGAGAGAGTTGGTCAGTACAGAAGCCTGGTGCAGCAGTGACAAGAGTTTCAGTGGGGGGACGAGGCGCGAGTCCGCGGGTTATAGAATAGTGTTGAGGGTTGCGGGGGAAGCAAGAGTGCAGGCCAGAGCCTCGTTCAGCCATTTGAGTGTCACTCCCGACGTCGAGACCAGTGCACGCGCTCGCGCACACGCGGGAGGGAGTGGGCGCTGCACTTTCCAGTCAGAGCGAGAAAAGATCAAAGACCTATAAGACATGTAACACGAAGGCGAGCGGGGAAGGGAGGGAAGGAGGGAGGGGGCGAGGGATCATACTTGCCGGCAGGCTTGAAGACTCTCTATGAAGTCAGGAAAGAGCTTCAGGCCTTGCTTCTGTTCTTGAAGACGTCAGGGCAGGGGGCACGCCTTGAGCTAGCATAGCGGACTGTTCTGTGGGGTCCCAACGATAAGTTCTACATTAGTGTTTGCCATAGTGCCTTGGACAGGTAGTAGATGGCACTTTATGCTTTGTTTGAACTTGTCATCTGGAGAGCCTTGCAGCATGGGTTGTTTTTCGCAAAAAAAAGATGTTGTGCCTAGGTCGCGCACGAGGGTCCTTTCCCAAGCCCCGACCCCAGCTTTGGACCGTAGCTACATTCCTGGACAGATGCACTGCCTGAAGTCCTGCGCATCTCATCCTTGATGCTCTGCTAACTTGAACCCTTAACCGAGCCCGGGTTGTTGGGTTCAGGTTCTTCCACTCCAAGTTCTGCCAAGTCAGTCAGACGGTAAACTGGCACACTCTATGAATCCACACATGAGGATTCTGCACAAGTCCGATTATCTCGCGGTGGCTTGCCAAGACCTGACATGCACTGTCCGTGACCCACTCGTGAAAGCCTGTTTGACGGATTAGGTGCATTGGGGTGGTTGTCAAAATTAAGGTCCCTTTTTGGGTCCCTAAATAATAGTTGCCGTAATATCATAGGGACCCAAAAAGGGTCCATAATTTTGACCACCACCCATTGGTGAGCATTCTGAAGGGGTTGTTGTGTTACGACCTCTCATGCACTTTAAGCCGTAGACGCCGCAACCCCTCCACGTCCTCGCCGTCGCCTACACCCAGTATCCCTACAACCTTCATTAGCACCATATCCCTATAAACCCTATCAGCCTGCTTTCTGCCCGAAAGCCCCATAGCTGGCCCAGAACCTTCGGCAGGGCCAGGAGATGCAGCAGAACCTGAAGACGAAGCCTTGGAAAGATCCTCAGGTGCTCGCTGGGGCTCGGTGTCAGTTCTTGTGTTGTGCGGCGGCCTGGCACCACTCACGAAAGTCTAGGGTTTAGGATTTGGGGTATTATACTATACAGTATCATAACAGTCTATAATAATACTCTATAGAATATTTTCGCTGGCATTAGTTTCTCCATCCTGAGTTACAAGCTTTCCGAGCCCTTAACATACTGAAGCCGAAAGCTCTCTGAAAACGCTCGAATTGAATGAAAAACTAATTTCCATTCAATACGATGATTCACACACTTGTATCGGGGTTCCCTGTCCTACAATGAATGAAGGGGACTCTGATACACGTCCTCAATAGTAGGATGCTTGTGGGAAGGGCCCCTAGATATGTAACCACATAAGGGCCAAGTCTCGAAACCACCCCGCTAACGCCCTATGACTCTTCTGAATGCTAAATTTCCAAACCCCGCCTAACCCCCAAGCTCCCTCCATGAGCTCGAGAGGTAGAGGAGCAGGAGCAATGCATTCCGCGGTTTCAAGTGAGGAAGGACCGATTGCTGTCGACTGCCGACTGAGTTTCATCTTGTGGGTTTTCCCTGCAACGTCCGCGAAAGCATAGAAATTTTCAGGTCATGACCGGGCAAGATCAACAAGGAGAGCGGTAGTTGGCAACATGCATCCCCCCTCGGCCTGATGACCTTTCGTAGCCAACAGCCGGTGGAAAAAAAGCCTGATGGAAAGCTCCACGGCCCAAGTGTGTCGCAGAATCGCCTGCAGTTTGCACGAGCCCATGCGCACTTCAGGACCCACCAGCGATCTCCACTGAACTGAACGGTGTAGAACTGCCAGAGACTTGCTTTCTCAACGATGCGACGCTTGGGACAAGCTTGAGTGGTGACCAGCGGCCTTATATGTGTGGTTTTAATTCCGCCATGATCCCGTTTCATGTATTGTTTATTGCTGTTGTAACGCGTGTCGTTGTAGTCACTGTAGTCATGGTGGTTAAATTAAAGCATTGGCATCATCATAGCCACAAGTATCATCAACAGCAGCTTCTCGACCCTCCCCAGCAGTTCTGGCTGCATGACCCGAAACCTGAAAGCCACAGTTATCACCTCCGCAATCATTGTCATCGCCACCGCAGCCACAATCCTTTCTGTCTGACTTTCTTCTAATGGCAGATATGAACAGCTTGGAAGTGCTTGAACCCAAATCGGTCATAAATGTGAGATCGAAAGCTGAGACAATATTCTGGTAAGCCCCGAACGTGCCCGAACTCTTGGCTGCTTGGGACGTGCAGTATGCGGAAAATGTGTACAGACTGGTTCAGCTAAGTGTTATACAATTTGGCGAAAGCATACTGTGCACACGAATGTACGTTCGGTCAAGTTGGTAGGGCCTTTTGCTGTCAGGTTGCAGGTTCATCAGCTACTCCCGAAACTAAGGAAAGGCCTGCACCACATTTTCGTGATCGGAGACTGGGGCGGCGTTATCGACTTCTTCGACAAGAACGTGAATCCATGGGAGGTTCACTCGCCCAAGACAGCGGACCACACAAGCAAGGCCAGCGTGGGGGGCTATCCTAAAGTACAGTAGCTGGCCTTGTCGATGTCTTTGCCATACTCCTGATTTAGCACAAAGGCACCTCCTTACCACACTTGGTAGTTCACATGTAAGTGGGGGGAAGCCCGGTCGGGCATGTGGCGACAGGATGTTGCCTTTGAAACTCGGAGCCGTGCCTTTTTTGAGCTCAAGTTGTCAAGGCTGACGGGCAGAACTGGTTTAGGAGAACCCTAAACTCCTGGCACCCAGTGCCCGAACTATCCCGAACCACGGCCTCCCATGGCAACATGCAGGTCTTTGCGTCCCACCATCGGAAGAAGGCGGCTCGGTGTCTCAAAGCCAGGGAAGTCTAGGAAGGAGACGCAGACCTCTCGCCCCTGCAGACGTGCATCCCAAAGCACTTTCGTTTTTTCTAACTAGACCCAAAACCCTTGCACCCAACAGCCTCAAAACGCAAAGCCCGAAGCCCAAAACCCCGGCGAAACCCTCCCCAACAAAGGCCAAGGAACCCTTGGATCCCAAGCCTGCTGCGAACCGTCACAACGAGCCTCTCAGGTGAATTCTTCCGACGACTGGGCCCAGTTCAACGTCAGCAGGCGCGTTTACTTTGAGTGCAGGGCCTCCTGAGTTTATGATGACTCTTATGGGGGTTTCCGAAAATTAAGGGTACCTCATTTTGGGGTCCTTATAATAAGGATCCTACTATTTAGAGTCTAGAGTTCTAAATAAAAGGGTCCCCATTATCGGCAAGGCCCATATTATTATGCTAAACTATACCATGAGTAATCTCAAGGCGGATTCGTCTTCTGCTTAGGATTCAGGGCCGAGTGCCGCAGATGGCTTGGCTGAGCCGCATAGTAGCACAAGAACCCTCTACTCCGAAACCGACAAGCCGCTGCATCTAAACTCCCATAAACCCAAACCCTTCCTCTTCCTAGGTGGATGTGCTACTACGCCAAGAAGTGGGATCCAGACTTTGTTGTCAACCTTGGAGACAACTTCTATTGGGGTGGCGTGAACGTGCAGTGCGGAGCGCCAATGGACAAAGTCGCGGACTGCTTGTGGGTTTAGGGTCTAGGGTGCTAGTATGCATTGATATATGGGCCTACGTAACTACCTATACTATTTTGGGGGTTCCAAACTGTAATTATAGTATAGTGGGCCGCAAAAAGCTGTTCTAATTATTAAGGCCCCTATGTTAAGCCTTCCTTCTTTATGTGATAGAGCTTTGTGCAAGCGTCGGGTGCGAGCTTCCGAACCGTAGACCCCTCATGCAGCCACCCCAACCCAAGATAGCCTTGCGGCGTAGGATCCGGGTTTCCAGTGGAGCAACATCTATGAGATTATGTACAAGTGCGACGGCCTGGACGGACTCTTGCCGAAGAATTGTTTCAGCATTTTTCTCCCCCCAAGCATTGCAAGCCGGCCGGCAGATGTGCAAGACATGGAGCGCATCAAAGGATGATTCAGTCGTAGGTGGATAGACAATGTACGTGTAATCCATCTTGCAAAGGGCAAAGACGATCCCTTTCGTCGCCCCCAATTGCATGTGGCTGAGGAAAGCAGTGGCTTGGGGTGTTGGGAAACCACGACTACGGTGGTTTCATGTTCACCAACGGCTGGGACCAGGTGGGCTGGGGTTCAGGAACATCGACAAAGAGACAGCGAGCGACAGAGAGAGGGAGAGCTCGAGAAACAGCACGAAGGTTTTTGCACGAGGAGGTTGTTTTCTGTAAGCACGAAGCAAAGGCAAGCATCCGCTCGCTTGAAACTCAATTCCCTCTTGAAACCTTCAATCGTAAGCCCTAAACTGAGAGCCGTCCAGGTGATTGCATACACTTGGTCGAAGCTGAAGTGTCTCAGAAGAAAACGCTCATGTGCCGGTTTGGAGTTAGGGTTTAGGGCCTAATGTAGGGACTTGTATTGTTGTTCCGGATTTAATCTTGCCAGCCAGGCTAGGTTTGGAGCTTGTGCCAGTGAAGTTGGAACACGAAGGAGGTTGTTTGTGCTCTGCTAAGCCTGTGCTTCGCCTCTACTATTTTGGAGGTTCCTTAATCATATGATTATGATTATAGTTTACTGGGCCGCAAAACCCTATTCCAATTTTAATGTTAAGGCCCCTATACCAAACCCTAAACCCAGCATCGGGGGTGAGGCGAAAGTGTAAGCTTCCGAGAGTGTCAATACGGCAGCCCATCCGGAACCCGAGGGGTAAGGGCTGCTATAACGGTCACTACCAGGATTGCGAAGGGTTACTTGTTTCCTGAGGGGCCTTAATGAGAAGACTAGGGTTTGATTAGTGGGTTTGCTTTGCAATGCTATACTGGAAAGGCTTGGAGTGCTGTTGACTGTAACGCTTCATGCTTGTAATTTGCTTGCTTAGTCTATGACTCGCTGCCAAGTTCAATTGTTTCAAGCTTTCCGGAGCAACCACTAGGGTGTTTTTCCAATTGCCATGGATAGCGCATCTCTTGTTCAGTTTGCTTCGGCGCTGCGCAAACATCGAGACAGTATTCCAGGCGACTTGTCAGACTTAGTGTTCAGGGTTTTCGATTTACAGAAGATGCTCTATCGGCAAAGGAGCTCAGGAACTAGTGACAGGGTTGGAAATGCCTGCGCCAGTAGGTCTATCGGGCGTAGAAGTGCTTGAACAAGGAAGAGGCGAGTCTCAAGCTTAGGCAGCAGCACCTTTGTGATGTACACCGTACTTGCCGATGCTTTCTTGCAGATGACAGAAGTCAAGATGCACGAAGAGCTCGCAGATGCCGGCGTGCTTTCAGAGTTTGATGAGAGCCTGGGAAAGGCAATGTTCGTGTCGCACCAGTGGCTGAGCGACACCCATCCTGATCCAGACTTCCAGCAGCTGAAGGTTCTGCAGGATGCACTAAGGAATATCGTTGCCGGAACCAGCTCAATTTCTCAAGCTCTGTTCTCAGAAGTTGTGTATGGTCGAAGAAGATGCCCTACAGCCGCCGACTTCGCACCCGGCCATCTCCACATTTGGTATGACTACTTTAGCATCCCACAAAGCGGCGGCCACCGCGCATCTCATGGCCGTCAGACAGCCATTCAAAGCATCCCAAGGTATGTGGCAAGATGTGAGTTCTTTGTCGTGCTATGCCCGGCTTTGAAGCACAGAGATCAGAAGCGGACTTTGAGCCATGCCACTTGGGGCGAAAGGGGGTAGCTGAGTTGCACTGGCATTTTTTGCCTTTGACGAGACACTTCTTCTCGCCTAATTAGGCCTAACTTTTGCCGGTTCTTTGTCCCGCAGCCCAGTCCAGGTGGTGTCGCACAGAGAGAGCTGCACGCGAACTGTCCACCCGCAAAGGTGGCTACGTCATTATTGTAGAGAGCGCCGTGCACCAGACGCTGCTGTGGGCAGGACTCAGCATGAGGGATGCACCTGGTGAAGGAGACTTTACGCTTGATGGTGACAGAGTGTTGATCGGTCGTATGGTCACTCAGATGGTCTGGTCCAAGCTTTTCTACTACCTCGAGCATCGACAGTTTCACAACTACCGATTCCTTCTGAATCTACAGGCAGCGCAGTACTTCCGTGCTCTTGACGTGGAGCCCATTGATGGCCTTGTTCCGGGCTTCCACACTGAGACCGACCCGAGTGTTGACTGCAAGGGCTTCATGCTGGAACGTTTCCTGCATCAGAACGGCCTCAGGAGCGTAAGAAACCCAAAATCCTCAGCCCCTGAATTTGCGAGATTTCGCGACTCCTCATTTGTCCTCGGTTTCTGCCGTCAGGAACATCTTCGAGCGGGATGCTGCAGGGTGGCCGCCCATTTGCTTTGCAGCGATGAGCAACAATGTCGTGGTGCTGCAAGCGCTTCTTGACCGAAAGGTGGATATCAATCAGGCTACGAGCAAGCCTGAAGCGCAGGTCAATCTTCCTGCCAAGCTGACGGCTTTGGCTATAGCTGTCTTAGTTCGCAACAATGAAGCTGTCGAGCTGCTACTGTGCGCCAGAGCCGACGTGAACTACAAGGATGGTTTTGGTGGCAATGCTCTCCATACCGCGTGTGCCGGGAACAATCCACACGGAGTACGTCTACTCTGACATGCTCGTGCCAACATGAATCAGCAGGCCATGCCAGGAATGAGCCCTTTTATGATCTCGTGTGCATGTGGAAGTCGGGATGCCATGAAGGAGATGCTCAGTCTGAACCCAGATTTGAGTTTGCGACACTGCCTACACGTCGCACTCATGTTCGCTGGGTGGTTCTGCCGACTTGGTAAATCTGTTGCTCGCTGCACGGGCGAATGTGAATGAACAGTTCCGGGTACAGATCCAGGAGCCGGGGTGGTGGCTTCTAATGAATGCCATGGGTGTGAGGCATCGGGTAAGCCCTTCCAGACTGACTCTGCTGGCTTATCATCATTACGATGCTACGCCGCTGATGTTCAGCATTTTGAGTGGTTCTCTGGATTCTGTGTCCACTCTGCTGTCAGCCCGAGCCCGAGTAGACATCCGAAATTACCGTAATAAAGCGGCATCCGATCTGGCACGCCAGATGCTCGCGCCATCGTGGTTGATCGAGGTCTGCTCTACCGAAGGAGAGCAAGACGCCGACGCCCCTGCCGAGAGCGACACGTTTTTCATTTGAGAGGTCTTGGCCGACGCCGAAGGCGCGTCCAAGTCTCACACCGTCAGTTTAAAATATTCTCAACTTCTCAACTAAAGTTGAAGCCTGTGGACCACTGGACGCGTTATTATCAACTAAAGTTGAAGCTTTTTGACCACTGGATCAGTGATTGCAAGAACATGTTGCACAATGTTGCGTTTGGTATCATGTAAGGCAACACAGTATCCTAAACCCTAAACCCCTAAACCGTAACCCCTAAACCCCTGCCGCATAGTCGAGGTTCAGCACCGGTCGATGGCTACAGCCGGCCTTGTACTACAAGTGCCCTGCCGCTTGGCTCGAGGTTTAGGAGCTTAGAGCTGTAGCGCTCAAAGTTGCAGGGTATAGGGCTTACAGGGTTATACAGGGTTTAGGGTTCAAGGTAACAAGCAGTTTTATCTAGGCTTCCAGGAGCAGGGCCTGACTGCCTGATATGGGGCTTGTATGTCTTAGGTGTAGTCTTTTAGTTTTGGTCCCTGTGTAGCTGCGGTCTAAGGTGAAATTTGAAGGCCATGCGGATTGAGGGCTTAGACCGTGACTGGAATTAGGGTCCAGGATTTTCGGGTTTCGGGGTTGGCGTTCAGGAACTGGAAGGGACGTGATGCATGCGGTCAAAACGAAAGCACAGTGGGGCCTTGAAGTTCTTGGCGGCCAGTTTGGGTTCAGAGCTTGTTCTGTTGGGTACCGGTAGACCAACAAAGCGCTAGGCATGATTGGGCAGTTCGAATCGGACCCCTACGAGTTTAGAATGTTGAGCAGTTTGAGCGAACGTTTCTCAAGCCCTCCATCGTCTTGTCACAAGGAGCTTCAAAAGCATGACGAAAATCCAACCCTGAGTCCAGAAGTCTGAGTTGAGGATTCAAGATGAAGGAGCCCGTGTGGGTTTAGATAAGATGGGCCGAGCAGCGTTAAGATTCTGATTTGGATAGCCAGCTTTGGCAGTTCAGTGTATATTCGTGCTCCTGGGCCCTGAACCACGAAGACGAAGATGATGACGCAGGTAAAGTTCAACGACTTCGCCATGGACTTCTTCTTCGTCGATTCGAACCTCTTCGATGCCAACGATTATCACGACGTCAGCGGCCACAACATCTGCTCAGGCAGGGGGGAATTCGGAGTCAGTCGATGTCAGTAGTCACGAAGTGGAATGAAAGCAGACAAGAACGAAGAACGAAGACAACGACTACCACGACGACCACATCATCAACAACAGCAACAACAAACACCAACGACAACCACGACGACGACAACAGTAGCTGCCACAATTACTGCTACTGCTACGCTGCTTCTGCTACTGGTTCTGCTACTGCTGCTGCTACTTAAAAACGATCCAGGGCACGTCGTAGTACAGCTATCATCATGGGTCATGATTTACTTACGCCCAATTTACCACCACCCATGAACCGCAACACCCCCACCAAGAACAGTACAGAAGTCCCAGTAGAACCACGGTAAGAAGCTCCCACATAATCCGACTTACCCACAAACTTCAAGCAACTGAGCAGAAACCTCGGAGGTCTCCACAACTACCCCTCTGCCACCTGTGGTCTTTCCGGCCCTGTATCTCTGGAGCAGCTGTTCTGCATGCCCCATTTGGGGGGTCTTTCGAAGTCATGGGTTAACATATCGATGCTTAGGATCCATGCGCTGTTCTGGCAGAGCTTGATGGGTTAAGTTTTGGCTGCCGTGGTCCTACCATGTGCTTCTACCAGCGTAGTTTCATTCATTCATTCTCTCTCTCTCTCTCTCTCTCTCTCTCTCTCTCTCTCTCTCTCTCTCTCTCTCTCTCTCTCCTTTCACACACACACACACACACACACACACATATATATATATATATATATATGTACTAGACACACATGCGTGCGTCCCACGCACTTAGTGTCTGCATCGCGGCGACGACTTTTTTGCATTGGCGCAGAGCTCAAGATGCTGGAAGAACTAGATCGCACGCGCCATTTGAGATGGAACTAAGATGAGGCTTATCCAGGGAGGCTTAAGGTTTAGGGTTTAGGGGCTTAGGGTGTTGGGTCTAAATATCTAAACCCGTCTTAGTATCTAAGTCCTAAAACGTAAACCCCTTTTTTTGTGGCCTGACCCTCAACCCTGAACCCTTGAACCTTAAACCCCTAAACCCTAAACCCCTCAACCCCAAAGCTAAACTCAAAACCGTAGACCCCTAAACCCTCAAACGCTAAACCCTGAACCCCAGACCCCTAAACCCCTAAACCCCAAACCCTTCCCTGAGCTCTTAAACCGGCCTCCAAACGAGCCAGTTTTTGTGTCTGCCCATCCCCGTGTAGGCCACATGAACCCCCCAAAAAAACAGGGCCCCGTTGGGGGGTTCGGAAACCAACGGGGAAGGGGTCCTATCCGTTTATATATATATATATATATATATATATATATATATATATAACATGTGTGTATATATATATATATATATATATATATGTTGTATACAGGTGCTACTTGTGTGTGTGTACATATATATATATATTATACACACACACACACACTCTGTATACCTGCATACATATGTTCCATTTTTTGTATACTGTCTTGGTTTCGGTTAAGGAGGACCTGGACATTTGCAATCATCACCGGGAATCATGTGAAAGATAGGGACCAGCCACACTGTCGTAGTTCCCTTCCTCCAAACTCAAAGAGATTATTGTAGTTCTGAGCTGAATCTCGGGCCCTGATGCTTCCACAACTGAGAGAATGATGTGCCCATGAGCATTGTAAACCCTAAAGTCCCATAGCATTGTACAACGCCATCAAGTTGTGGCTTGATGCCTTTCTTTAGTACATCATGATCATGGCCTCTCCACCCCCTCAAATAAGAACCGAGGCAGTGCTCGGAGTGGTTCAAGAACCTCTGGGATGCCGAGGCGAAGCACTGCAGCCTTCTGCGGTTTCGGTTCTGGGAGTAGTATGATTTTTTTGATGCGGGGGGTAGGGGGTGTACGGTCAGTGATTTGAGGGGTGTGCTTTCAGGTGTAGGGGTCGAAGCTTTCGAGTTTGTCGTGTACCGCTGGTTGCAGCGAATCGCCGCCTCGCTCTTATCCACGTTGCCTCGGTGAGCCATCACCTACCAGCTGCCAGTGATTATTGAGCGCCAGCGTTTCATTACAGCAAGAGTGTTGGTGATGCCGCAGTTACTTCATGATGGATGCTGCCAGAATTGAAGCCCAGAGTAGATCCCTAAACCCTAAACCCTAAACCTTAAACCTAAACCAAAAGCCCTAAACCCTAAACCCTGAGCCGGGCCATGCACAGCAAGTGGGTTGCCCTGAGCTAAAAAAAATCCTCTGAACCCCGGAATCCTGCGGCCGGAGACGGCAACCGCCTTAAAAAAGGGACCTAAATAATCATCAGTACTACTTGTTGGTGATTCCTTGTCATCATAATTATAGTAGAATGGGCCCCAAAACCCCATGCTAATTCTCAAGGCCCTTATACGATCCTTATACTATATCCTTATAATGCCCATATAGTAGTCCTGACTCCTTTAAAGGAACTCTATTCTAATTCCCAAGGCCCCTAAACCCTAAGCCCTTAAACCCTTTTGGCCTTAAGCCCAAAGCCCTAAACCCTACTTAGAGGATCATGGGACTTAGTAAGTAGGTTATTATTGGGGTTATAAGTCCCCTAAGTGGGGTGATCCTAATTATAACCTACATATAACCTGACGAACTCAGTCCCATGAGCCTTCAAGTAAACCCTAAACCCTTAATCCTTAAAGGGAGCCCTGTTATAGAGCCCTCATAGTACCCTTAAAAGGGACCCCTAAGCCCTACTTACTAAGTCCCATGAGCCTTCAAGTACGGGCCTTTCGGCGTTTCCCTTCGCCGCCAGGTCCAGTGGCTCGAAGAGGGCCTGGGCTCGTCCATGGCAGACTGGCAGAGCCTCTTCAAGAAGCTACGGTTTCGGGAACACTTCTGAAATGTGTGCATATATATATATATATATATATATCATACTATGTTACATATGTATATATCTACATATATATATATATATTATGGAAATATTGACATACGATAGAGGGGTGAATCCTGCTTCGACCCATAAAAGGTAGGGGTGCCCAACAGCAGCCGGCACGAGACACAGCAGCACATTGTTCTCTACGAGGCAGCTGCGATAGCATTCTGTTGCAAATTGCACAGTCAGCAGAAGGATGTATGCCATAAAGCGGTACACCCACCCTGACACAGCAAAACGTCCTGCCGGGTTACACGCGGAATCCTAGGCAGCAGCAATGCTGAAACCCTCTAAAACAAGCCTGTGCATCAGCGCCAAGGATCATCGCCACTCATTTCCCGCCCGAGCATGGCGTCGACGAGTGGCGACGTCTCTCCAAGAGCCTTTGGACTTACACTTGTTGTCGTTGTTGTTAGCAGCAGTTCGATAGCAGCCGTAGTGCAGTAGTAGTTGTTCTTGGAGTTGGAGTTGGGGTTGGAGTAGCAGCAGTAGCCAGCAGTTGCAGTCGCCGTATCGGCAGTGGCAGGATCAGAAGGGATAGCAGTGGCAGTAGCAGTAAGTGCATGTTCATGCGTGGGGTGATATTGCTGAGATTATGGTGTGGACCTGCTCTTGACCGCTCACCGACACGTACAAGAGGTGCACGTGGATGAGCCTTGACCTGCATAAATCTGGGGGTTGCATGCTGTCGCCAGGGTTTGGAATTATTAGGCTCAGCGGCTCTACGGTTAAGAACAGCTTGTATGGAGCGATGCAAGCAGTCTGGACCCAAAATCCAAAATCAGAGCTGCTTCGATTGCAAGAACCCAACTCCGGCCCTGTAAGCCCAAAGTCTCAGCTTCGCATCCTTGTTCAAGGTAGTGTACGTGGTTTCGACTAAACATATATATATATATATGTGTATATGCATATGTAAAAAGTGTAGACACATAGTTTTTCGTTTTTGTCGCATACAATTGAGTGTTTGCACTGTTGGATTTAACATATATACTTCGCCGTCTTTCAACAAAGCTTGGTCCGAAAGTCTGATGCTTGAGATCCCCAGCCAGGACGAAGCCAACCTGCTGAAACCGACAGCCTTCGTGGTGAGTGGCGGGGGCGGCGGCATCACATCTGAGGACCAGGGGGATACCCATAGCACAGGAGTACAACAAATCTTGAATGACCATTGCGCGTTCCAGAATACCAATACTGTGAAGATCCTCAGCTTAATCTTATCCTCATCATCACCATCACCGTCCTCAGAATCTTCTTCTTGATCTTCACCATCACCAGAATCGGCACCACCACCATCATCATCATCATCATCTTGTTCTTCACTGCCTTCATGACATTCCCGCCTTTCTGGCGTCGAGTCCTATCGGTTTAGGTGGGCATGAGATTATTGAACCGCAGAGCCTTCGGCTCCTTCAGGTCAGGTGCCTGTAGACTCAGACTTCATGAGCAATGCGTGGCCGTAGTGCTTTGGAGTGCGGGGTTGGCAAGATTCGGCGTCCGGGTGCAGAGCTTAGGAAAGGCGGTGAACTTGGGGTTGAATTCGCGACGAGCCCAAGGAACACAGCTTACAGCAGCAACCAAGTGACGCCAATGCTTCCAATGCCAGGCACACTTCAAAGGTGCAACCCTCAGACATCCAAACCCAAAGCCGAGAACTCTGCAACCCCTAAGCCCTAAGCCCTAAACCGAAAAGCTTTCAAACCCGTGAAACACCGGTCGCTGTCGCAGGCCGTTCCTTCCGAGAACGGCGAGGACGACCAGCCCCTTGGGGCCAAATCCCTAGGCCCCTCAAGGTTTAGGCCTAGGGTTCCTAGGGTTCCTTTAAAGGGGTCTATAAGGGTTACTACAAGGGGTCTACAAGGGTACTATGCTATAGGGGCCTCAATAAGGGTCGGGAGCTTCAGGTTATCGTTGCCGTCCCTTTCCCCGATGAAGGAGATCGGTGAAAGACACGAATACCCTGCAGAACTCCCCTAGGTCGAGTTTCCGCGATCCCTGGGAACCAAAGACCTGGATCATCAAACTGCGGCCGTACTTCAGGTATGGTTTCATGGACCTGACGGTCTCGAAGTTGCTTGGCTTGTGGCTTTGGGGTTTAGGCACTCAGTGTTTCATGTTGAAGGCTTTCAAAATGTGCTTGAGGCTGCTGAAAGTCCAGATCTATGATCGCTTGCATTTAGAATGATGTGTTGTGGCGTGCGTGTACATGCTGATGTTGCGAAGACCATGCTCATGTAAGTTTCAAACAACTGGCGGCTCTCGGAATGGCAATCATGGGGAGTTGCAAAGGGGCAGCAATGTCTGCACCCATCAGGAGTCTGATTGGCAACCGAGGCTTCGGGTGTTCTCTCACCCTGATCTTGTTCATTGCACCACCCGAGTACCAATTCGTGATGCAACATCTTCGTGTCAAGACTGTGTGGCTCTTGTGGTCGCACCTGCTTCACGAATGCCTCTGCAAACACCTCCAGATCAGAACATGGGAGTTTTTTGACTCCCTATCATCCTCAATGCTAGGATCGTTCTTATGAGGACGGCGAAGGGAATCCAGGAAATCCAATTGTGAACATCCGTCTTAAGGGTCGTCGGGCTGCTGCAAGCATCCAAGGCATGAGATCAAGATCACAGCGGTGTCCCATGGCGGGCAAATCCGGAATGTCAAGTGCCTGACACAGCGGCTGCCAGGCGACGACTTTACACAGGAGCCATCCGGGCTTGAAAGTGTCATCTTCCATTTAGGCTTCGCCGTGTTGAGTCTAGGCGCTGCGGGGTGGGAGTAAGAGCTGGTGTAACTGAGGCCTCATCTCAGATCTTTCTGCTCACAAATATGCTCTACGAGTACTTTCTGTGGGCTTCGTACGGTCGATTCCTTGAAGAGTTTTGAACCGAGTAAATTCCGGCATAGCTTTCACCTCGAAGCCAAGGAATTTGAACTGGCACGCCAGCCGCCAGCAAGTAAGCATGATGGTGGCAGTAGTGATAGCACTGCATGAACAGATTGTCGGCTTGATGCTGATTGCGATGAGGACGACTGCTACGACGATAACCATGCTCATGACGACAACTGTATTCCTATTTGATGGTTGTTGTCGACGGCCAACAACCATCCATTTGGAATACAGTTGTCGATGACGACGAAGAAGAACTGTTTGAAGATGAGCATCATCACGACGGAGAAGAGTGGCAGCAGCAAAGCAGTGGCCAGGACATGTAGCAGCAAGACGCAGCAAGGGATGATGCTGGTGCAGAGCCACATGTTGGGGAACTCTGTGCCTAGGTTCAGCACTGCAGGGCTCACGCATGTCACGCATCACTGATTTGTAGAGCTCCGAAGCTTGGCTTGCTGTTTATTGGCTGTCAGCTCCAACGGTCCGAACCTGTTCTGTAGGTTCCACGGAACATGTACTCATTCAGCACGCATCTTTGTGAGGTCACCAAAAGGTTTCAACGTTTTGAAACCCTGCCATCGCTTGTGATACAGAGTTTAGTGCTTTCGGTCTGCAGTCGTGATGCCAGCATCTGCCTGTCAGGAGCTGACAGAGGGGTCTCTGTGCGACAATGCGCCTCAGGGACTTCAGAAGCCACCCAATCCGAACATCGCACCGGTAGTGACTGACATCCACTGGTGAGGCCTTCTGGCAACCCGGTGTGGGATCCAAGCAGGCTAGACTCAGTACTCCCTGAAGCCCAGTTCGTTTCGGGGGTGCCGTACGTATTCAGGCAGGGAATAAGCTGTGCGCGTATGACTGAGGGTAGTCCGACTTTCTGCGACATGGACACCGCAAGACCTTACCGAATCACCCGCTGCCGCTCCAGCAGGAAGCTTTCGACAAATGAACTTCCTGAGATAAATCAGCAATGAATCTTGTGATTCCGACAGCAGCATCTCCGTTGTCGTTATTGTGTTTCGGTTGTTTCGGTAGCTGGGTGCAAGCAGGAATTCTTGTGGTTGTACCGGTAGGGGTAGGGGTCGCCACACAAATTGCAGCAGCAGTTTTCCTTACTATTTACTTCATCTTTTTTAGTATCATAACATGCGGTTATCATTGTTGTTGTTAAGCGTTTATTCCAAGTAGTAGTCGCAGTCGTGGTCGTTGTTGTCGTCGACGTCGTCATAGTCGTGGTCGTAGTCTCAGTATCAGTCGTAGTCGTCGTTGTCGTAGCAGTAGCAATAGCAGCAGTAGGAGTAGTAGGAGTAGTAGGAGCATTGGCGGCAGCCGGAGCCGTGGCAGTAGAAGCAGTAGCAGCTGCAGTATGGCAAGGAATATGTAGTATGCACGACAGTAAACAGACTTGCAGCTGCACAGGCGCAGAATTCTATGGTTTTGCAATTTCGCCGGGGAAATTCATGGCCTATCATTGTCATCAGACGGGTTCTTGTTGTGCCTGTGACTTTTTGGTACTACGACAACCCGCGTTTCACATCTCAGACCGGGTGCAGAATGGCAAGCCCCAGGCTACAAAGGCCAGGAGAATCCTTCACCTTAAGCCTAAGCCTCGAAACATCAACTTCTACATAGATGGATATATGCTCAGCCGCAGATTCGAGCTTTGAAGCCCGAGTTCGAGTTGCAATGATTAAAACTAGCAATCACCGGCTCTACTGTCATCTCGCACGGGATGTCCATATTAGAGTGCCGTTCTATGTTTACAGCAGTGGTGCTGATCTAGACTCATCCCGGCATCAGCCTGTCTGCTGGTGTACAGCGCACAGAGCAATATCGTAAGTTTCACCGATGTTCGCGCAAAGACGCTTTCCTGCAGCAGCAGCAGCAGCAGCAGCAGCAGACGGAAGGAAAGGCTGGCTCACTGGTTCATGTGCGAGTCGTCGGCAAGTTCCAAACAGGCCTTGAGGGAATCCGAACAGCAAGAGGGACAAAGTAGATGTTCGCCGGCACCCTCAACCCATGTACCGGCTTCGGAGTTTGGGGCTTTGGGTTTTGAGCTAGGCTCTACTTAAATGATGGATCGAGCGAAACCAGCATATCTCTGGCACTTTAAGTTGAAGGCGAACATTGAGTAGTGCACTCTTCAGGGGTGGCCTTGGTATGGTTGCTTGCCACAGTGGTCAAGCCTACCGGAATACACAAAGTTCAATAACATTCTTGCATTCCCAGCCCACTAAGAAGGACATCTAATGTTGACACTTTAAGCGCTTGCAAAGCTTTCAGCGCTAAGCCGTGAGGCCCCCGAAAAAGGGAAGCTCGGAAGATGGTTTGCAACGCCTTCCGGTTTGGCTCAACCAGCCCGAGCAGGGACAGCAGACACTGTGCTACACGACGACAGTGCAACCCAGCTCTGGGGCAGATTTGAAACTAGGTAGCTTGTAATTCGTTCAGCCCCCACCCGTGCAGGAAGAAAGGCAAGCAGAAAGATAAAAGTGACGGACACAAGCGTAATATACCTGGAGACGTCAGCAGCCGGACTGCTTCGGATAGGTTCTGAATCATAGAGCGGCATTAATTGCCGCGAGCAAACCTGTGAAAACCTCGAAGAAGCCCTCGAGCCTTCTGCTTGAAGGGCCGGCAGCTCTACAACCCCAAGCCTAAACCCTACGCTAACCCACACTCACAACACACTCAACTCTTCTAAGACTTCTGGCACTGCTAGACCAAACCTCACTAACCACCCCAACAAAAACCCTCCAAGAGTCATGGAGCTTCCTCCGACAATCTCGCGGGTGCCGGGGCCAAGCACCCGCAGAGCTCCTGCTACTTCCGGCCTTTTGGGGCGATGCGCTTGGCGGCTGGTGCCTTTGTCACTGTTGGGTAGCATTTTACCTTTTTATGGGTACTTAAACCCAATAAGGAATAAAAATGTACATTTTTAATCCTATCCCAACAATGAACTAGGTGCCTTTTTCCAATAGGGTCCAGAGCCAAATCTTAGAAGTTGACTCCGGGACCAGCAAGCCTTATTGGAAGTAGAACCTTCTAGGGCCCAGGATTTCAGCAACTAGTAGTTAATGCAACAGGAACGACTCGGGCATTTGAACAAGTATTATCGACATCATTACGGTCGTCATCGTTATCCGTTATCAACAGTTTCATCATCGTCGCAATCATTGCTATGATAGTTGCCTGATATTCGGTGATCGAAAAGATGAAAGGCTTTGCAACTAGGGATGTGGATATCCTATTTTATGTTATGCTATGGTATGATGTGCCACGTTATGTTGTTTTACGTTCTGTTATGTCATGTTCTGTTATGCTATGTTATAATGCCAATGCAGGTAACCTACGTACCTTGGAGTGCCTAGCATGAGGTTGCTGCTCCCTGCTTTTAGCCCGTCTTGGGTCTGTACCAGGTCACAAATCAAGCCACAGGTATGCGGAGCGAATGCTTCTGCACGTTTCATGTGGTTTTCTCATGTGACACGCCTGCTGCCGTTTTTCACCGCTGGAAGCCTTCTTGAAGGACCAAGGGCTCGCGGACCTAGTCGGTCCATGTTCAAAAAGGAGTTGGATGGGATTTGATTGTTACTCTAGACCGAGTTGCAGTGCGCCTCCCCATTCCGTGCATCCTAGGTTTTCCTCGGCGTCTGCTTGTCTCAGAACTGCCCTGGCAGTGGTGAGACGCCGCTCAACTTTGCAATTGCAGCCAATCCGTAGTTGCTGTGATCATGGAGGTACTTCACACGCAGAATCGCGAAAGGATCGTGTTCCATAGCAAATATGCAGTCTTGAGGACATTGGGTGTGATCCTGAGTTGTTTTAGGAGCAGCTGTTCTGAATATTTGCAGACATTACCATGAGTGGGCTCCAGCAGACAGGTGAAGGGACCGATGACGCTGATTATTATTACGATGCGTCTTACTCTTTTGCTCTTTTTTGGACTTGCCGTCGTTGTTACTGCTTCAGCTGCTACTAGCTAGGCTTGAGCATGTTCGTGTTGTTACATGATTCCCACCAGTGGTCTCATCATACTGAGTTTTGGGGGGGCTGACAGGGCACTACTGTGTTAACCTACGTACTAAACTGATCGATGACGCACGACGGATCTTACCCGAAGCCAGTCCTCCGTCGGCTTCCTGCTGTTGCCGTATTCTATTAACATAAACCGCTGAGGCACTCCAGCGTCATCTTAAAGATGGTAATATTAGCCGCTGTGGCTACTCCGGTCTCTCTATGACACAATGCGAACAGATGGCCTCTTTGTCTACATCTCCCGTCTTGCACAAGCACACCTGCAGCACCTGTGCCCAAATTGCAGCCTTGCCTTTGCATAAACCCTGAACCCCAAACCCCGTAGACCCTGAACCCTTAAACCCGAAACCCTGAACATTGAACCCCGAACCCAAAGCCCTATATACCTAAACCCCGAACCCTAGCTCACGTTGAAAGCGCACTCTTGGAAACATCAACTTGGGGCGGCTGTCTTTTTGCAAGCCCTTCGGAGGGGTCATCCCCAAAGACAAGAAAGCCGAAGAGCACGGAATTGAGGGACGTTAGTCCTTACGCTGTATTCATGAGCCCTTGGCAACTTACGGAACAAATGTTTGGAAAACGCGGCAAAGGGCTCCCTGGGAAGATGAAGCCTTTGGCATGATGAACCAATTGAGTGTTAGAGATCGCCGGGGAAGTCACCTACTGTAAATAGATCGGGTTCCTTACACATCTTGGCTCCTACTTGGAGGATCATGGGACTTAGTAAAGATTGGTTATAAGTACCTTAACTGGGGTTATAAGTATAGTTACCTTAATAATAACCGTAATTACTAAGTCCCATGATCCTTTAAGTACCCTAGGGCTGGGTATTTCGTCTGTCTTGCTTGTCAGGCTTACAGGCTGAGTTCGCAAAACAAGTTGTTTGTCTGACGTCGTCACAGGGGATGCAGGGGATCAACTTCTTGCCCCTGTATGGGCCTTCGGTGGTTTGAAAATTGGCTCATAAGGTGGTCTCACAGAACAAAATCGAAATCCGAAACTCCATGAAAATCTCGGTGTTCCTTACGAGTTGTGTTTCTGGTTGTGAGGGAGTTTAAGCCCAGATGCTACCGAACTCAATGCTTCATCGGTCTGGCTGACAGATACCCATAAACCCAAGCCTCTGAACCAGAAAAAACAGGAATGCTGTCCCCTGAACATGTCCATACCCCACACTTCCGCAGACCTTCCATCCAGAAACAACCCAAAGGATCCTAGGTACTGGTATGGGGAATACGTCCCCCAACAAATGTACCTCAAGACCCTGTTCTAATTCATAAAGAGCCCCTATTGTTTTCTGTTTGCCCTAATAATATACCTGAAGACCCTGTTCTAATTATAAAGGCCCCCTATACTAGATTTCTATATGCACGAGGTTCCTCACCCCACGGAGCTCACAGCCGCCGCGAACGCGGCTTCGAGCCCGGTCCGGATGGCGACGTGGACGGCCTGCACGGAGTTTCTGTTGTGGGTTTAGGGGAGTTTAGGGGTTAGGGTACTATGCTTGCTTTGGCTTCCTCATTTTCCGTGTGAAAAGCATACCCCCAAAGCCCTGTTCTAATCAAGGGGCCTAGTTTCTGGGGCTTTGCAGGTTTTCTGGGTGTTCATAGGAGTTCTTCTTTACCAATCTAGTTTCTGGTTCAAGGCTAGGGGCATTGGCGGTGCATCCGAAGGCCGAAGAGCCTTTCTCGGCTCATGGGCAGTCCGAAGGAAAGGAGCCGAAGTCTGTTGGACGAGCCACTCTCGCATGTTAGTACTGGTCGTCCTAGCAATGCTAGGAATTCTGGCCAAAGCAGAGGGACCTTTGCGACTAGTAATGTTTCCGAGATTAGGGGTATCTTATTTTGGAGTCCTTATAATAAGGATCCTACTATTTCGAGTATTATGTTAGGGTCCCCTATTTTTGGAAACTCCCATATTGCTAGTTATGATAGTAAGAAGACTATCTCGTCTACCATCCTTGCGACTCCCTCCGAAGCTTCTTGGAAATCAGCGGCTGGCCCCTAAACTCCTAAAGTGAAAGCCACAAAGTTGGAATATCATTATCCTAAACCCTTCTATGGTAAATTATAAGGTATCCTACCCTGAAACCATATTCCAACTTTCTGGAGTTCCCTATACGTCCGAAAGTTTCTGAACCTGAAGACCTTCCTAGACCCCCCAACTTCCCTGTAATGAAGGCCCCCTAATTATCTCTTAGTGAGAAATATCAGAGCCCTTTAATAAAGGGTACTTGGGGGTTCCTGCTCCTAGACCTAAAACCGCTGGAACCCACGCAGCCCAACTTCCCGAACTCCTGAACCCCGAGTCTCAATCCCTGAACCCTAAACGCAAAAGTCCCACAACTGTGGGTTTCGCTGACCTTAACTGCAAGGCGGAAAAAGGCATTAAAACAAATAAGCAAAAGTCCCAGCCGAGGCTTAAACAAGAGAGCCTCGTGGGATTTCCTGTTGGGGGCTTCCCCTTTTGCCTACGAAGAGATCGCAAGCAGCTCGGCCCATGCTTGTGGCTTAGGGTTCAGGTGTTCTAGGAGCACTTCAGAGAGACCTCGTTCAACAAAATTGTTCCAGGATTCTAGGGTTCCGGGTTCAGGAGGAGTTTGGTTACATGTTGGCCCTGCTACCGGGCCTTTCATACGATGATGGTCCAAGCATGCACCAGCCTGGTTAGGAAAGCCCTGGTGCGGTTTGCTTGTTACTTGAAGGCTCATGGGACTTAGAAAGTATGGACATAAGTAGGTTATAGTTAGGGTTAGGATAACCCCACTTAGGGGACTTATAACCCCAATTATAACCTACTTACTAAGTCCCATGATCCTCCAAGTAGAGTTCTGGATAAGCATCCCACTGTTTGGGATGTCCAGAACCAAGGGGCCCGAATGGTTCGTCGGAGTAGTCCCTAGCGTTCCCTCTGAGATTTACTTGCAGCACGATATACCCCGCAGACCCGGTTCTACTTAAAATTGTCAGGTTCCTACATTGACTGCCCTTAACACTTATTATAGAACCCAAGATCCCGTCAAGGAACCGGTAAGGGAACGCTACACTACACAGGGTGGGATGGGCCTTTGTCCATGTTCGTCGTAGTGGTTGACTACACTGTAAACCCCCCAAAAGACCAAAACCCTACGTAATTGCTTTCAACTCAAAGCCTCTATACACCCGTAACCACCTCGACGCATAAATCCGAGACCCGCGACTCTAAAACTGGTAAAGCCTAGATAAGAACGTAGGCCTACTAGTCAGTCAGGGCCCATTGAGTACTGGAGCTTCGGATCATCGTCGTAGTAGAAGTAACCGTAGTCGTCGTCGTAAATGGTAAGCTTGCAATACAGTAGTAGAAACGTGGCAGTATCGGTGGTGGGACCTCCTTCTTCGCCAAGACTTCTTCGCTAAAGCATTGGCCAGAGACCCGATTCCTGTAACCGAGGCAACTCCAGACAACAGGAGTACATGAAAAACATGCTGCTCAGCCAAGTCGATGATTCTGCTGTGTTGGAGTTGGGGGTTGTGAAGAGGCATTCTGGGGTTCTGGACAGGTGACTGGGCAAGTGCGGGTAGTTGCAATAGTTCCTAGGACCCAGAGCAGACCCTTATTCCCTTTTTTAGGGTTCAGGTTCCCTTTTAAGCCCCTTTAAATCAAAAAGGGCATCCTTTTTATCCCTGGGTTACTCTTTGGTCTAGGTTCGTAGGAAGCCACAATGCCGGCACTGCTCTTCGTGCGCGAGTTGAACCAGAGAAGTTTTGAGCTCACAGGGCCGATCACCCTGAAACCTTGCAGTAGAAGCCAGAAAGTTTGAATATCATTATCATACTCCCTTTAAGGTAAATTATAGGAAATCCTGCCATTATTCCATATTCCAACTTTCTGGAGTTCCTTTTAAAGGTGTCCAATGCACTTTGGCTCTGTTCAAATGTTGGGTTTTTGCTACCTGAACTATTTTCTTCAAACCTTAATTGGATTGAACACTTAGCCCCGAAACCCACCAGAAATCCCATAGCCTAAAACCCTCAGAATTGAGCCAAACTACTCGCATCCTGGAGGCAACCCCTCAAGCCCCAAGCCCGGAGCCAAAGGTCCTACTTGGAGGTTCATGGCTAGCTGTAAGTGGGGTTATAAGTAGGGTATAAGTCCACTTAAACTACCCATGAACCTCCAAGTAGATATCCCCAGACCAGGACTTTAACGTCCTGGACCACAAACCTATAGACCCTAAGCCTTCACCAGGATCATCAGACCCAAAACCCTCGGACCCGAAAAAACACTAGGCGGCGAATATATGACCGTCTCCAGTGTGGGCATACTTGTTAATGTATACCCCAAACCGCAAAAACAACTTTATTCCACTTGCTCCGGCAACCATATTCCCTAAACCCTAAACCCTAAACCCTTTACGCTCCTGAGCCTTGAACTTGCAAGCCCTAGAAGCCCCACAAAGCCTAGACCACAGGTTGTGGGAAGACCCTAAACCCTGAGCCCTCCTAAGACATCCTAAGACCACAGGTTGTGGGTAGATGACCTGGAAACTCCAGAGAACCAAAGCTCTCCGACGGCCTCCGTGGAGAAGACTCTTGGCAGCACTTCCTACGCCCGGGCGAGGTGTTCGATATGGGAGTTTCCGGAAATTAGGGGTACCTTATGTTGGGGTCCTTATAATAAGGATCCGGGATCCTACTATTTAGGGTACTATATTAGGGTTCCCTATTTTCGGAAACTCCCACATGAGACTCTAGTATAGTTTACATGAGGTTTACAGAGTTTGTGAGTTGGAAAGGGGTGGGGGGCCACCCTACTCCGAAACCCCTTCTGAGTAGATGGCTGGTTACATATATTCACAGTCAGATACATTCACGTCTTTGCTTGCAAAAGGCAGCTTCAAAACAGGATACATACGTAGTCTTACATATCCGGTGGCCCCTTGCTGACTGGTGATGTGGTGTTCTCAGCCGGCAGGTATCCACCAGCTTTCGTCGCCTACCTAGCGCGACTGCTGCTCGCACGCGACGAACGCTGTGCCGGCTGGTGGGCAGGGGCGAAGAGTGACGCTCGGAGAAAGACATCCCTCTCTCAATCCTGTGTGATTCGGCCGCTGGAAAGTTGTCAGATAGAAGGAATATGGCCTGTGGCTGTTGTGCGTATCTCTCTATCCTTGCACCGCCCCAAATTAGACGAAAGCCCAACTGCACTTCAAGCTATGGCTCTCCACTTTAAGGATTGGAGAGAAATCGTTTCTTTGCAAGCTTGCTCCGGGCAAGCTTCGTCCACTCCATTTGTCGTCAGCTGTGGGCATGTGATGCCGCAATATGTATGCATGCACTTCTGATATGTTTCAGCAGCACTGTGTTCTTGGCTGGTAAGTGCTCGCCGAAGTGACCAGGATCTGGGGCATCCCAGCAAACAAAGGCCAGCGGACCCAGCACCTTAAACCGCCGTCCTGATACTTGCGCCACTCAATAAACCCAGCTGCAACCACTGCCGAGGCTGGTGTGGAAACTCCGCAGGAGGTATTTGCACAGTTTGAGGCGCAACAGTTGGTTCAGGATTTTCTCGGTGTTCTGAGCCCTAAGCTCGTCTGCCGCGAGACACGTATGAAACTACGTACTACACTACGTACCACGTACTACCACGTACTACTACTACTACTACTACTACTACTACTACTACTACTACTACTACTACTACTACTACTACTACTACTACTAGTACTACTACTACTACTACTACTACTACTACTACTACTACTACTACTACTACTACTACTACTACTACTACTACTACCGCTGTTGTATACACCGAAAAGACAGGCGAGGCCTCTCCCGAGCTAAGAACCGGCAAAGCCAAAGTCGTTTCTTGTTGAAATCACTCCATTGCCGACTACCCAAACGATTCTTTGTTAGTCCTCACAGTGACGATCTTGCTACTTTGTGTTTAAACAGGGTTGGTCATTTTCTAGTTCTCCTATACGATTTCTGGCACATCTGCCGTGCCAACACTCAGAGCTGGGCAGGCAGCATGTGTAGAATCCAGGACATGACCGTCACGACAGTACCAGTGAGAGCAGCATAAATGAAAGCAGCGGCCGTGCGCCATCATACAATGCTACCAGTTCTTTTTTGGGCCAGTCCTCTGCAGGCTTCGGTCGCGAAAACGCTCTCCGAGAGCTGGCGCGGAAAAGCCGGAGCACTAGCTGTCGCACGGCAAGATTCTCTTTTACATATGTTCGTTTTCAGTTGAACGCTTAGGGCCTTTCATTTGGGGGATGTTGAGGGCATGTTTGGCACGACATGGCTGTCACTCGCAGATGAAGCAAGCACTGAACTTCAACAATCCCCGTGTAATTGGCTTATATATTACTTCTACACCCTGTAAGCTTGCTCTGCCCGATGATCCTGGATCCTCGAGCCTGGAGCGAAAAAACACTCTAAACCCTTAAACCCTAAACCCTTAAACCCTAAACCCTAAACCCCCAAACCCTAAACCCGTAAACCCTAAACCATAAACCCCCAAACCCTAAACCCTTAAATCCTAAACCCTAAACCACTCAAGCAGCACAAATCTGTCTCCAGGCAGCTCTGATCAAGCGCTTCGGAGGACGATTTCCCTTCGATGCAGAGCCGCAAATTAGGCGCCGGAAGTAAGGGACAAAGATTGCTGGCTCTCGCCACGACGTTCCCCAGAAGTGCATACTGTAGGGGCCTTCATCATTACACTATCTTGAGGGTTCCTTATAAATATAGTATAATGGCCCCAAAACCAATCATTAAGGCCCCAAAGAAGTTCCAAAACTCGGCAGAACAGCGCATGTGCCCTAAACCCGAAACCCATACACCCTCTGAAAGCCCGAGATGACCCAAGCTTTGAGAGGCTTTGCTTCGGCCTCCTCCCCGAGGCTTCCGGCAGCAGAACGCTGGTTTTAGTATATCATGTGTCGTATATAGTAAATAGTACAAGGGATATAGCACATAGTGTATAGTATATGTAAGCTGTATGTATATTTTTATGTATGTATATATATATATGTATGTATATGTATATACACATGTATTTGTTTTTTGTTTGTAGAACCTTCTTTTTGTAGTGATACCCACGCTGTGTCTTCCATATGAACCGTGTTGCTAAGTTGTTTCGGTTGCTCTCGCTGGCTTGGTGGTTGTTTTTTTGTTCAAAACTGTCTTCCTTGGCGTGGTAGGCACGGTGTCGGGGTTTGGGCTGTTGAGGTTCTTGTGGGGTTGTATATAGTCTATGAGGGTTTAGGCAATACAATGTCATACTGCTGATGGACAAAATCCTGCATGACCCTAAGGACTCTAAACTATAGGAACTATGGTATATTCCTTGTTTTGGGTAATGCAGGATTTTGTCCATCAGCAGTAGGGCTTCATGTGAGCTTCAAGCGTTTCAAGGCTTGGGTTCAAAGTCAGGAGCAGGGATTCTAGCTTGAAGTGTCAGCTGTTAGGGTTTAGGGTTTAGGGTTTACTGCTCATGTCATGTCGAAGAGACTTGAGAGTATTCTGCTGGTGGAAGGGCTACGTTTCCGCAAGTCCCTAATTGCGGCAATAAATACTATTTTGGGGGGTCCCTATTATACTTATAGTATATTGGGCCCCAAGATCCTATTCTAACTACTAAGTTTGGGCTTCATGAGAAGATGGTTTTCCCTAAACCCTAAACCTTAAACCCTAAACCCCTAAACCCTAAACCTTAAACCCTAAACCCCTAAACCCTAAACCCTAACCCTCCCACCAAGCGCAACCTTGCCGGAAGCCCTGGAGTGCCCTTCCCCCCAGTCTATTGGAAGGCAGCGCGCAGGAAGGCCATGTAGCAACACTCTTAATACAATAGTAGCAATTACATATGTATATATATATATATATATGCTAATATGCGTTTTGTGTTCGTTTCGAACTTCAAGACATTGTCCGGGAAAGCAGGATTGGCAACTGGAAATGCACGTAGCGCTAAAGTGGGCTACGAATGAATCATGGACTCCGCTTCTTGACCCCATGCGGCAGGATATTCTCCGGGGGTCGTTCTTCGATCAAAATTTTAGCACTGACCGCGACGAGGTGTGGCTTGGTGGCAGGTTAGCCAATTCTGTCTCCATTCTAAATTCCCTACAGCAGTGAGTCTAGTAGGATTCTGGATCGAAGAACCCTAACTGAAGCATATTACAGACAGCCTGGCACTCTACTGAGGCCTCAGGGTGTGGGAATCTACTGTAGGTTGTTTTCTCGGCTTTCGTAGGACGATCTGATGAAACCCCCGAAGGCTCGCAGAGCCAGTGAAATACGAGAGCTCTCAGGGACTTCAAAACCCCATAGTTAAGGAATATACCTTAAATCATATCAACGACCTTATTATGATTTAGGGTATATGTGTGAGTTCGTGTGGCGGTGGAGGTGGTAGTAGCAGTGGTAAGTAGGTGATACATGGTTGCGGCTAGTAGAGTATTTGAGGCTGATGTATCAAGTGGTAAGAAAAGTTGTCATAGTCGCACGGGCAGTTGCATCTTGAAAACGCTGGCAAATCATGAGCAGTCCCTGCTACAGTGACAGCACCGAGAGACTTGAGACCACCTAGGAAGAAGAAAAGATAGTTGTATAGTTAGCAGCACCAATAATGGCAAGCAAAATACAGAAAGGGCCAAGTGGAAAGCTAATCCAGAAGACAACCAGATCCGTCAGCAGGTCACGTGACGATACACCATAAAGTCAAGTACCTCTGCCAATACCAGTAAACCCTGGCCGGGCACTCATTTGTGCAAAGCATGCCCCCTTTAAGGATGGAGGTGTTTCTCGCCATCGACAAAGATGGCAATGGCATGTTAACGAGGCACCGGGCAGTTTAGTCTTCTGGGGAGTAACGTACGTACGTGGACAGATCAAGCGCATCGATTCAGGTCATTCAGGTTTCCTATATTCATAAGAACGCAAAGACAAGGAAATGTGCATGTAGTAAATTATATATATATATATATATACACATATTACATATATACATACACATACACTGACATGTATATACGCAAGCGTAATTGGTACTTAAAGCAACATATGTGCGTGTGTATTGTAATCTTGAAGCAGCTGCTCTAGTATTTTGGGCCCCGCACAGGGGAAAGGCCCGGATTTTTGGTCGGTACCTCACTCAGACTCCAGGTTGAAGGATCCCTGGCCTCAGTTTAGCAGCATGCAACCTAACCCCTAAACCCCTGAACCCTGAACCCTACTTGAAGGCTCATGGGACTTAGTAAGTAAGGTTATAAGTAGGCTATAATTAGGATAACCCCACTTAGGGGACTTATAACCCCAATTATAACCCACTTACTAAGTCCCATGATCCTCTAAGTAAAGTCAGGATCTGAGATTCTCGCCACGTATCGAAGTCAAAGGCCCCTACGGAACATGCTAAGACCATGATTCCTAGATCACTCCAGAGACTCCAATGTCCCTTAATTAAGGTTTGAGGGACCCCATGATAGTTTAAGGCATATTCCCTAATTAAGGAAGGTCAGGAAGAGGTTTGGGGTTTTTTTGGTTTGTCGCTGCGAAAGCAACGCCAGGATGTAAGAGGTTTGTGAAGAGTCTTGGCCGACATTTTCGGATATGAAAATCCTAAAGCACGGCGACTGCCGTAGAATTGATGAGGCTGTGTCTTTTCAGAAGCACTCATCTACTTGTGGCTTTCTCGTGCTGTGGGATGGGGCTTGATGCTTCATCGCGGGAGGGAGGCAGGAGCAGAACATGATCTTCAATTTAAATGAGGGAGAATGCGACGTCTGCAAGTGACATGCATGGTCTTTCAGAATTGGCCGTCTCCACGTGGTGTGACCCATCCTACTAGAGTCTGCCAATATGAGGACCTTAAAGGGGCTGCTGTAAGTTGCAAGCTGAGCTTCAGATGTTTGCTCCCCTGTTTGTCTCTCGATCTATGGATCCATTAGAAGCTGCCCCCACCCTGTAATAGTGGTATAATAGGAATATACTAGGGCCCTAATATAATCCTATATAATCCTTATGGTCACTATTACAGGGGGGGGCAGCTTCTAATGGATCCATCTATTTCCTGATTTTGTATAGGTGTATACCTGCATGTATAACGGCATCGGGCTTAGGGCTTTCATTCGAGGCTTCCTCGCTGTTTCTTTCACGGTCAAGCTCATCTCCCACTGTCGCCAGGGAGGAGATACAAGAAGCGTTTCAGCCGCGGCCTTAGTGACGATTCTGACGCAGCCAGGCATCGCGGGCTCTCTTTCAAAGATACGACTCGAGCCCCGCAGTGACAGTGAAGATAATTACTGAGGGCTCAACAGCAACTGTAATCAGCAATACTCACAAGGTTTTCAGAATGCAAGCCATCACTAGGTCTTAGCGATGCATATGCCCCAAAGCCCGAAAGCCCGGAAACGCTCAAGCCCCAAGCTCAAGACGATCCCGTGCAGAGGCTACTTTGCTTACGCCTTCAACCCGAAGAGGCCCAAACCCAAAAACCACTCAAAGCCCAAAGGACTCCTTAAGCCCTAAGGCACCGAAGACTCCCGAAACTTGCAGAACCCCTGAGCCGACCTCTAAGGTCCATAGGGGACGGGTGGCTGTCAAAGCCCGAAGTTGAGCAGATGTTGAAAGATGCCCTTGCCGACAGCAATGGTGAGGCAAGGGTTTCTGCCGTTGCCTTCAGGATTGTGGGGTGGTAAGTAAGAGAAGCACAAGTTGTGATCACAAGGTTTTTGTTGCTGTGAGAGTAGGTTAATACGTAATGATAGCATCGGCTACCACTGCACTTTGCAAAGTTGTACGTCGTCACGCAAGGACCACAAGCAAGAACCAATGTTGTCTCCCAGTGTGGCGTTGCTAAGGCCTTAAAGGAACCACCAGTGTCAGTGTGTTGCACGCTTAGAGTTTGTGCAGCTCGAAATACAGCTTATGGTTTATAACAGAAACCCAGTGTTCCGATCCCTGCCATCCGAAACCTTGAAACAAAAGCTTCCGGTCAAGCCATTTTTGGGAGCATCTGCTACTAGCGCGACACTTCCAGTCGAGTCCGTGATACCTGAAGACCATACGGTTACTAACCTCGAACCCGTAAAGAACCCTGAACCCTACACTGCCGCCGAATCGACACCCTAAACCCTGAGCCCTAAACCCAGCAACACTACATGCCGACAGGTAGACGTCGCCGGTTTCAAGGCCAAGCGGTAAGGGACTTCCTCATAAGATCCGGAATGCTGTGCTCGTGGCTTCATTCTTGTATATATATATATATAATATATATATATATATATATATACATATATACATATATCGATGTATTTGTATATGGTGCAGGTAAGGTTGATCGTGATTTGCAGATGAGCATGAGCTTGGTGAATTTGGTCTACGGGGCATCGGATTCGGCTTGCCGTTGAAATTGGGTGTCCAGCGAAGGGGGTCTAGCAAGCTGATGTCAGGTGCACAGCAGCGATTTCTACATGTGCATGGGATGCTTTCAAGGCAATTTCGGACCTTGGGTGTTGGGTAGGTCTCGGATGGAGCCTGTATAGTGCAGAGTGGGTGGGTGTGTCCCCAGAGGCTTCGTGGAATGTTGAGAATGCCTCAGGGATTCGGAAAAGGCCACTAGCCACATAGAGAAGGTTCGAATGTAACAGAGACCTTGAGTGTGACATGTCCATGTGTGGGCTTTCAATCGCGGGGGGTTATTGGGTACTGGTAGTATGTAGCACAGTGGTTGCAGGCAGGTGCAGACAGTTGACAGCGTGCCTTCAGTTCCCACTGCCCTTGAGCAGTCAAAAAAAGCAATCCAGACCCTCATGGAAACCAGTCGGCACTGGGGGAGTGGTCAGTTGGCGTCTTTGGTTCCCCCCTCTAGGACAAACTTTCCACTTGCTTGCTCAAGAAAATGACGGACTGAGAAAGCTTGTGAAGCAAACTGGTCTTGCCCCCCGACTTCCTGACTTCCTGGCCGACACCAGATGTGCTGTCGCAACCTGGGTCGGCAGGCAGCATTGGCAAAGTCGCTGACGGCACCGCGAGCTCGTGCCGAACAGGCAAAGTGTCGAGGGCTTCAGCCGCTCACGATGAACAGGGCCTTGGGTTTGATGATCTAGTGTGCTCTGGGATCTTCATGTTTGTTTCGAGTTATGCTCCTCCACCCTGAAACTTAGCTACACTACTTAAACAATCATGGGACCTAGTAATTACGGTCATTAACTATTAAGGCAAATATACTTATCCCCCCAATCAAGGTACTTATAACCATACTTGCTAAGTCCCATGACCCTCCAAGTACACAATGGATGGGATCCGGATGTTCGCCGCTGTTTGAAACCCCTGAATGCCACTAAAACCTCGGGCCTGAACCTGCTTCAAAGGCAGGACTATGATACTCTGGGGGCCTAGATAATTGCCAACACTAGTCTTTTAGGGGCTCGAAGCGCTCCATCAGCGGAGCTGGTTGTTGCCCCCAGCACGTATAGTGCGCCGCCTTTGAGCCATTGCGGGTTCTGGCGGTCATTTATCATCACCCTCCTGGCATAGGGCTCTGCGTCGTCGCCGAGCAGCTGCCAGACACGCCCTCCGACACGGGCGTAGGTTGAGGGCCAGTCAGGTGGCTCGCCTTGTTGCGCATCACGCGTCTTCCAGTTCTCTGGTGGACCGTGTTTTACGCATGGGCAGGGGCAGCAAGCAGAAATGGGACGATGGCAAGCATGGCTACAATCTGTGGCGTGGCTCGTCCTATGTGTCGCCCAAGAGTCGAGGGCAGCCTTCCCGGTATGGCCAGAAGGGGCAACACTGGGACTGGTGGGAACCGCAGATTCCGAATGCTCCGACCTTCCCTTCCTTCGACGCGGCCCCAGCTGGTTCGGGTGGTGCGCCACCGCGCAAGGATGCAGACGAACATCCGCGTCCTGCTCCGGGCGTATTCAAGGGCTTACAGGATGCTCTGAATGCGTTCAACCGTGCAGAACAGCGCGTGGAGCGCTTTGCCCGGACGCAGGAGAACACCAAGCAGCAGTGGGCGGATTACCAGCGCGCTATGAAGGAAGCCCTGGTGAAAGAAAAAGGCCGGTTTCAGGCCAGGATGGCGAAACTTGGCCGCGAGTTTCAGGAGGCAGAGATGCAGAGAGAGGCCGCGCGTGGATGTGTTCGGTCTTTCCACTTGGGAGAAGAGGTGCCAGAGCCTGCATCGCAGATGGAAGCGACGGATACAGAGGTGGACTCTATGTTCGAGCAGTGGATGGCCGAGCGGCCGCCTGGTACAGATTATCAGGAGATTCTGACCCGGGCTTTAGGTGCTCCAAGGCCTCCGATGGTGACCCCTACGAGACCTACCAGTTTGGCGCCGCGGACCCCCCCCTTTGGGGGTTTCCCTGCCAATGCACCGCCTTCCTATTCTGCTCCGACTCCTTCTGCGGTCGACGATCCGTACACGGCAGTCTCTCCTGTGCTCTTTGGTGCTGCAGCTCCACCTGGCACTGGATCTGTTGCGGCACCCCCGGGTCTGGAACGCACTTCTCCTTTTCATCCTGGTCAGCGTACAAGCAGGATGGAGCCTCGCCGTGGCGTCAAGGAATCCACCAAGATGGCGCCACCGGTGCCTTCTGTACATGGCAGTCTCGAAGAGAAGCTGCAGGCTCGCCGAGCTTTGAATCCCTTCGGGATTCCTCCGACTCCTCCCCCTTCCATTCCGGAGGGCGTGCCGAGTGCCGTTCCTGGTACATCGGCTCTCCTGGACGACGACAACGAGGAGTTAGATTCCGATGGGGGTTCGCTCTCTGCAGAGGAGCTTGCTCGCCTTCGTTCAGCCGGAGGCGGCCCCGCGGCGGCAGAGTGAGTAGGCAGGTCAAAGCGAACAAGTCCGGCAAATGGTGCCAACAAGTTGATGGGTCTTGCCGCCTACGGGAGCCTGACACTCGGAGTCCTATGGGAAAGGACTCTGTGATGCGCGTTTCCCTTGGGCATGGCTTTCTCATCGAACTTGTTGGTGCGAAGTGCTTTGGACATGTTCATACCTGTATAGCGCTTTTGTGCAGTTCCTCTTCTGGGTTCTTTGGGAATGTACAGTTTTGTAAAGCGCGGCTTTTGGGTGACCTGGATGTGCCTTCTTCCTTCGGGCTCTGCTTCCCGGGGCAGGTCTCTCTCGCTTGCCATGTTGGATTTCTTTTGGCATATGAATCGGGATATCCTCTGTGCTGCCCGGCTATTGGTGCAGCCTCCTGTCTGGGTATCACTTTGGCCCTTGCTGTGACAGACTCGGCGTCCGGGGTGCCTAACAACTACATCGGTGGCTCTGGGGTAGTGACCACGGTGACCGAGTTTGTTCCTTTTCTGGCTGGAGGCCAATGTGGTTTGTGCTCGTGTGTGGCTCAGAGTGGCGCCGGCTTTCAAGGCTGCCCTCTTCCAAATGGGCTTCGGTCCTCCCGTTCGACTCATCCAGTTGGTTACGCTTTGCTTTCAATAGACGAGCTTGCCCAGGATGATGGATTCTGCTGGCTCCTGTCGGTACTTGGCCTCCACTTGGCTGCGGCGACTCGTTCCATCTCGGGAGTCATATTCCTTTGCTTGATTACTTGCCTTTGCGGGGCAGCTGGATTGCAAAGCTGTTCGCTGAGGCGATCGGTGAGGTCTCCATCTCCTGTCGCCCCCCTTGGGATGCTCCGTGGGTTTGGTTGTTGTGCGTGCCCAGGGCAGCCTGTTTTGCACTGGGGATCTCCGCGTCGGCGACAGGGGCACCATTCGAATCGGCCGACCGTCCGGTGCAATTCCTTCAAAGGTTTTCCAGCTCTTCTGGGTTTTGCTCTCCTTGGATCCTTGCCTGGTCAGGTTTGGGCTGCTCCTCAGCAGTTACGTGAGCTGGTTCGGGCCGCTGCGGAGGTGAGTGAAAGCCGGCCTGATCCATTGGGGGTCCCTGCTGCTTCCGGGTCCTCCTTTGATGCTCCTGCAGCTTCCATTGCAGTTGATACTGAACGTCGGGTGCTAGTCCTTTTGCCTGGCTATGCTGCCCGTTGCATTAATCTCCCTTCTTGGCCGTTGCCGGCGATTGAGATTTTGATGTCCCAGCTCTATAATCAGTTGGCATCTGCTCTTCCTCCTGTAGCAGCCACCTTGCTCCCTGCCTCACCTCAGACGGTTCCTGGCCTTATGGTTGTTGTCCAGGTTCCTTCGTGGACTGAGGAGTCGGATAGAAGGATTGTGGTTTTTGACTTTACGCACTGTGGTGGGGCAGTCTTTGCTAAATACTGCCCAGGTGTATTGCCTTATGCTGACTTGGTGGATCTTGCTGGCCGTCACACTGCGGGCGCATGGGATGCTTATGCTGCCTTCCAATCGGATCCCATCCCCTATGGCTCTGGTACTGCTGTCGAGAACGGCATGACCATTCATTTTCGTCCGGTGCTCCTCAGACCTCCAGCCTGGCTCCCGCGCGCACTTGATTTTCTTGTTGAGCAGGAACTTTGGTCTGATCGGGTATGGGTTCCGGGCTTAGATGAGGAACCCACTAGATGGGTAGTTGTGGGTCCTGGTCCTTCCTTTCTGATCGCTCATGGAGCGGTTTTTGACGAAGACCTTCAGGCTAAGATTGCGTGCCGCGTCCGCAATAACGGTGAAAGTGTATCCTTCTCACAGCCGGCCTCTGCTTTGTTGGGTCAGAGTTATGCATTTGAGGGTCAGCCTGTCCGTGGTCTTGTTGCCGCTGTGCCAGGTCCCCTTGGCAGAAGGCCTGCTACGACTGTCTTCGTGGACCTTCGGCTTGCCGGGGGTGGCATCTCGGCCTTCGAACATGACCGACTGGCTCTTGATGAGGCTGATGTCCTCCGTGCCGTTCCACTGGGTGCCGTCTTTGGTTCTCAGCCCTGTGTCGTCGGGCCAGTCGGAGTCACATGGCCTGTTCCGGTGTCGCCGGGCCTCGTGTTCACTGTGGGTTTGACTCGGCATGGCCCTGGACATTCGGCTGTTGTCGGCCCTAGTGCGGATAGTGGGATTGATGCTAGTATTCCCCCCCGGGTTGCCCCTAGTCGAGCCCCAATTGATGATGCTCAGTCTGCGCATGCCGAGGGTACTCTCCCCTTTGTGGTTTTTGTTCCCTCTAGGTCCCCTGAGGTTCTTTGGGTTCATTTAACCCCTCCTGTCAGTCTTGAGTTCGCGGCTTCTGCTGTTACTGCGCAGCGCGAGGAGCCATGGGCTCTCTGGACGGAGCACATGGTTTTTGCCGACCCTCAGCCTGATCGGCAATTTGCCTCGATTCTCGCCTTGCCGGTCTGGGCTGAGAACCATGTTGGGGTGCTGGTCGACGCCAGACGTGTGACTGGGCGGCTTTTCGGTACGGTCTTGGATGCGTGGATCCAATGGGATGTGTTGCTGCGACGGCTTGACATCCAGTCTGTCGGTGATGTTAATGTCTATGTAG